GCGTTGATTCGGGAGTATGTTGGGAGGCATAACGGAAACTTTCGTTGGCGCAATGGCCGAACTCTGTATGAACGGTGGTAAATACCTGCTCAGAGGTTGGGGGCGTGAGGGGATAGGCAAGGCCGCTGTCGTCGAGATCGTTCTCGTGGAGAACGGTGTCTTCTGAAGAGGATGTGACAGAGGAAGACATGGACAACGCAGGGGTCGATGTCGGGGAGACTTCGTGGTGTCGAGCGCGTGCATCTGCCTCTGATACGGCGGAAAGGTAAGACGCTGCGGTTGCCATGGATGGGAGCGAGCTCAGCGACTTTTTCTTGAATATCGAGGGTGACGGCGACGGCGGATTGAGAGCCATGGGCGATGGCATTTTTGTGTTTGTGTTTTATGTTTTATTTTTTTGTGGATGTCTTTCCTACCAAAGGGTTCGGACGACGAGCAAGACGACGAAGGGACAAACTAGTAGAAAATGAACCAAGCTATGGTTATAAAGCTGCTTGCTTATATAAGCGGACCAATACGCAGATTGATAGGGAAAAACGTTTATTTCTCAGCGCACGGACAATGACCTGGGTGCAATGTATAATGATAGCAACTTATGTCCTTGCTCATGTCTCAGGATGGCCTTCGACGAAGAACTTCCTTCTTGACCTGGACCGTCTCAGGACCATATGGTCTCATTTCGTTCACTGGTGTGTAAACACACTGACATTTGTTATGCCGTTTACCTCCGGACTCTCAGCCAATGCATGCCTTACCTCGCTCGCTCAGCCATGTTCTATACCGCTGGACCACATGGATGTAGTAAAGTCAACGCCTGGAAGCTGCCTGGACGCCTAGTTGGATGACGGAAACGGGCAGACATAGCGGAGACGTTCAAGTGGGTACCACCACCGTGAGTAACACACTTATAACAATCCCACATGAAGCGCTCAGTTCCTTGTCCATGGCACTGCTCTCGACCCGGTTTACTTTCAAGAATAATAGTGTTCATAACTTTAACTGGCCCAGGACTTGTCCTGCTTCCGAATATCGCCCGCCTCGTTATCAGCGCATCTTTGACCTGCATTTAAACGCGTTTATGGCACTACTGTGTGCTATCTCTTCCAGCACGCATAGGCAATGGTTCATGCGGCATTAGCACGCTGTGCCTACATTAGGTACGTTCGATTTCACGGTCCCACTCATAAAAGCGCTCAATCTTGCTGAACTTCACAATTGGGTGAGTGCCAATCTTCTAGCTCTTCACTAATGACGTCTTTCTGCGTTTCTGTCCGTTTACAGATAACAAGGAGTAAATGATTCTAGCTCAGATTTACTTGTCGCACCCCGTTAACGCGCTATTCGTGCTCGCGATGCCAGTGTAGTTAGTTGTTTGCTTTCCTGACAGTTACTGTGGCCGGTTGGTTACGGTTGAAAACATGCCGCGCGTCGGCCACTTTTTGTTTTAACCACCGCTCTCGAATTTTGCCCACATTTATTTCAATAGTTAATTAGCTAAGTCCTAAAATAAAATTTGATCAATCGAGGATCACACGAGCGAATTTCTGCCAGTGATACGCAATTGTATAACATTAAAAATAGGAACCAGCGTGACTGCCAGCGACGTTCAAGAAACAAGATGTGCCATAAGAAACACATCAAGAACATATACATCCAGACCACCAAAAAGAACATAGCAAGGACGGCAATGCATATCAAGAAAGACAACCGGAACACTCACTGCAAGAAATGTAACTGGAACAGGTAGCTTCAAGAAATCAAGATTTCTATGGGCGAGAATAATGAGAGAGTATGATTACAGCAATCAGAAGACTCACTGGTTGCAATAACAGACTCAATCCGAAGTATACACAGAAATTGTTACAAGTATGTAGTGTATGCAGATTCTCAAGGGTCAACGTCCAATTCCCTTCACCAAAATTGCCCGCATGATCTCTAGGATAATACATTAGGGCCGTTTCTTCCGAAAAAATGAGTGTGGATAGCGGCTTACATTGTGGTCATAACTTGAGGATTGGTTAACAAATCACCACAACCTAGACATGAGACCAAACAATTTCAGAACGTCATTGAGAACAGAATATAAAAACATACCTTGAAAGTCCGATAGAAACACTAAGCCTTGCGTGAGAGTGAACTGAGTGTGTTGAGCAAAACAAAGAAAATTGGCAATGTCAAGCTGAGATGACGACAGGCCTTTCCTTGGGGAAGCACTGTTGTTGTTAATATACTTGATGAAAGGTCCCTGGATCTTTTCCTCAAGAAGATAAACAGCGGCCTGCGAGTCTTGTGTATTCTGAGGAATGGCAAGGGCTGAGTAAACAAAGTGCAGTCGAGGAATGTTGAGTGATCAGCCTTTCTTGAGGACCACTGAGTTGTTGATCCAACCATAGAGCAAGTCCATCAAACTTCCGGTGTCATGCACCAAAGTTGATTGGTAGCATGGACAGGTGTCAATAATGAAGCGAATGTTCAAAAAGACTCGCCTTTGCGCCACACAGGCACAGTGCCACATGGAATAGTAATTAATATTGCCTTTTTCAAACTTGTGGCTGATCAGCACCACCTCTATTAGGCAATCCAGTCACGCTCACCTTTGCTTTTCCATTCAGTACTTTCCGTGTTTCGGCATTTCGGCAAATTTTTGCGTTGCCACTGGCTACACATTGCATTGCGCCCTCGCTTTTGTTGTTTCCTTCACTTCCCTTCCTTTGCCTAGCCCCACCATGGGTCCCTTACTCTTGTTTTCATTCTCACCCGACGGTCGTTTCTGGATCCCCATTTTAGTTCACCTCCTCGTCACCTCCAGCCTCCTCCTCCTCATCTTCTTTGCTCCCCCACCCTTTCTGATGTCACCACTTCCTATCCGCTTCCATCGCCGATCCGTCAACTACCACGTGCCACTGCTGATATCAGCAAAGCCCCGGCGGCCGGTTCAAATAGGGCAACAGGTCCATCTTTATGACGTCGATCTACCATTATATACTATCAAACATCGGTCGCTTGTCTTGCCTGGTTGGAGCG